TAATTTGGAGTATCGTTTGTAGAGCTTGGTAAAGTTAAACGAGTTGGTGTCATAGTTCTGGAGCATCGAGTCTAGTTATGTTTAGATATCGAAGTTTGATATGTGTTGTGAATGTGGTAGAGTTTATCAAGTAGTCGAGTTTATCGTAAGTTCGATGATTTCAATTCAGTACGGAACACGCTACAAATAAAGGAATGCGTACTCTAGTTGCAAAATATTTTGTTTTTTAGGAATCTATATTACCACTCTTAAAGTATTAATATATAATATTAAATAGGATGGAATTTATAACCAACCGTTAACTTTTTTTTTCAATAATTTTTGTATATTTAATCAATAATTCTTGCAATGTCTAACACACTTACCCGTGTTAGATTTTTGTAAAAAAAAAAACGTCCGTTCATATCGGGGATCTAAAATTGTCTTTGATGCTGCTAAAGAGAACATAAAATTGTATGCCATCAAAGTTGAATAGAAGTATGTTATAATAGAACTACCGTTTTTAAGCTTTCAACCAAAACCTACAGTCAAGTATTCAATAGGTAAAATATATTGTTTTCTCAAGGCTATTTAGCTAATATAAAATATTTGTTATAATTATTACATAATGAAATTTAGATCGTTTTATTGTGTTTTTCAAGCATGTATTAGTTACACTTAGTTAGTTTAGCTATTCTTGTAAAAGTTATTTCCCTTGAATAAAATTTTGGTATTTGAATTTTCAAATGGAAGATAATTCGTTACTTACATTTACATTCATTTCAAATTCCTACACCTTAGGTTGACCGCTTACATATAAAAACAACTTTAAGTTATTATTTGCTATTGTAAAAATTATATAGAGCTTAAGTTCAAAACTAAATAGTTAGGTAGGTTTTTTTAACATTATCAAGTTGAAAAACGAATACATCAGCAGCCGTTGTAGTTTGCAATACTTAATGTTGGTAGACATACATCTTAATGGTAAAGTAAACATCTAATTAATTATCTTTTCATATTTTTTACCCTCTCCTAAAGGATTCATATATAACAATTTTAGGCTGGAATCTATAGCATTTATAACCTTTTATTTTTCAAAAACAAAAAACAAAAAAAAATCGTTACATAATCACACAATAATAATATAGACATTTTAAAATTATAACTAAAGACAGTCAAGCTTAAAACAGGTACGTTTCGTTTTAGAACTCACCTTGGGAGGACTGCAGAGAAACCTATGCTATAAAAACTTTTTTTTTCAGTGTTTTTTTCCAGGCTCCCCCCCCCCTCGGGTTGGGGGAAGCACTTAAAATATTAAGGGGGGGGGAGGGGGGCCTATGTCGTAAAGTACAAAGTAGACTTGTGGATTAAGCAACAATTTGAATAAAATGTGATTATGCTTGCAAACTGGAATTGAAGGAATTAGTACAAACTTTTGAGACGAAGGAGGCAAGTAAAATTTGATTTTGATGTCTTCTTATACCGTGTATGCAATTGGTAATAAATTAATATGTCACTTCTAATTAATTGTTTTCTTATACATATGGTTTAGTAATTAATTTGTGTGAAAGGGGGCGTTTTAATAAGTTTTGCCTAGGGGGATAAATAACCTGGCGCCACACTGGTCACAATGGTAAGACAGTCCCTCTCTCTTACCATTGTGACCAGGGAGGGTCCATAATTTTCTGACGATGAGTGATGATGTAGGGGTGGGGGAAGGAGAGGGGAGGGAGGGGGGTCAGATAGTGTGACGTTACACTTCTGCATTTACACAAATTAATGTTAGAAACTGAATTTTAAGAGTTATTTCGCATTTAAGTAAACTGTAAATATAACACATCCTTGACCGAGATCAGTCAATATATTTTTTAAATTATGAGGGTGTGGGCGGTGTAGGCTGAGGTGTGACTTCATTATAGTGGGTGTGGGGGCGGGGAGGGTTCTGACTTTTTGTGATGATGTGTGACAGAGGGGAGAAGGGAGGTAAAAAAAAACGTCAAAACAAATGTTTGACATCAAATATGGATTAACGTAATTAGGGGTCGTTACTTAAATAAAATGAGACTAGTGTAATAGTACACTTTCTTTATAATATAATTTTACAATAAAACACCGAAGTCTCTATCAATTCTATAACCAAGGTATAGCCTATTTAGAAATTAGTAAATTAGTAACAAATATATATATGTATATATATATATATATATATATATATATATATATATATATATATATATATATATATATATATATATATATATATATATATATATATAAATTAGTAACAAATATATATATATGTATATATATATATATATATATATATATATATATATATATATATATATATATATATATATATATATATATATATATATATATATATGTTCAATGATTATTTGAAAAACTTTTATTTAAAACTGATATTGGAGTTATTTTTTTGTTTGTTTTTGTTTTGTTACAGCTCTGAATATCCCCAGATTAGGTAGGTAAAATTGTTTAACTTAGTATCGTTCACTTAAATTACATGTCTGAGGGGGAAAAAAATTTTTAAAAAAATTTTAAAATTTGATTTACTGAGAGATCCGATGACAAAAATGAAATGTAGAATAAACTTACAGTTGCAATTAAAAACAAATTTTGTGAAAAAAAAAAAAATTAGCATCGTTTACTTGTGAAACAAAACGGATTAAAAAAAATAGTTGACTGCCTGTTGCCTTTTTATTTGCTTCTTGGTCTGTTACATTTAGACACTTTTCTTTCCTTTTGTATTTTTTTTTATTAAGCAAACCATTTTTTTAAATATGCTCACAGTATAGCAGTAAGACCGATTATTTCGTAGGTTTTTTCCGAATGTACGTCTATAAATACAAAAGTTTACGAATGTATGTCTAGAAATACAAGTTTACGAATGTATGTCTAGAAATACAAAAGCTAACGAATGTACGTCTATAAATACAAAAGTTTACGAATGTATGTCTAGAAATACAAGTTTACGAATGTATGTCTAGAAATACAAAAGCTAACGAATGTACGTCTATAAATACAAAAGTTTACGAATGTATGTCTAGAAATACAAGTTTACGAATGTATGTCTAGAAATACAAAAGCTCACGAATGTACGTCTAGAAATACAAAAGCTCACGAATGTAAATTGTTCACAGGGCGCAGTGGGGCTACAATGGTCGCGACAGGGGGATCTTTTTGTCTCGCCACTCTGGTCCTGATGTCGGTGGTCTTCATGTCTAGCCCTGGTGGATGGAGATTATAAGCGTAAATGATGACTCAGAATATGAGAACTGGGGAGGAGGGGGTGTGGTGTTCTTTGAGGGCCAGGAAGTGGAAGAGTTGTGGTAACAACACATGCTGTCATTCAAGGGATACAACTCAAATTGGGTTCCCAGAAAAATGCGCAACGGAAAACTGCGCAAACAGAAAAAAAACTCAAATAGCAAAAACTAATTATACTTAAACACTTACATTTTGTCATATTTCCTGGAAATATGTTTCATTATGCTACAGTTTATACGCAGACACTCTTTGTTAATGTCTAAAAATGCTCGATTTAAGAAAACAAAAATGCCCTTGAGCACTTTTCTGTGCGTGGTTTTTTTTCCGTAGCGCATCTTTCTAGTCCCTCACAAATGTTATGTTCGGACTGTAGATATATCATCACAAGGTAGGTCTAGGGAGTTACGTTACAAATTATAGATGTACAGATTGATATGAATGATGAAGCATGTATGTTGGATTGATGAACTTGACAAAGCATAAATGTTGCGATCGATGGTGTGAACGATATCTTATGTCCTGATTGATTTAGGTTTATACAAATACGATTCTGCTTACCATTTTTGGCTGATGTATATATTTTTACAATTTTACTTTGTAGCATATTAATTATTCATAAAAACTATATTTGCTTTTGATGATTACGTTATGTGTTTAGATATGTCTTCCCTGCATCCTTCTTGAAGCACAATATTATTTTTGTCGACTGATGTTGTTTCTTAGTAACATGAAATAAATAAGTGTGGGGTGTTAATAGGACAATCGGCAAGTCTCTAATGGACTACGCCTGACAACCCACTGACTTATCTTGTCTGATTGACTATGTCTTACATCCTTATGACTAAAGCTCTGATTGACTAAGTCTTAGAAACTTTTGACCAAAAGTCTCTAATGGACTAAGTCTTACAACAATTTTGACTAAAATATTTGAAATGTAAATTTTTAAATATGGTAATCAAATATCTAAACAAAATTCTCTCGAAAACCACCTCTGTTTGTAAATCTAAATAGGTAAAGGAGAGTAGAACCATTCATTATCTAAATAACATTCTTTCCAACACAGACTGTGTTTATTTAGTTATATTGGGCAGGTGAAGTAGAGTCCATGTCTGCAGCTACGTGTGCCCAGTACATTACACAGCTTACTTACCTTAATTTATGCCAGTTATCCAATAGAGTTGGACTGGCTCAAGAAAGGAAGCTTTGCACACTTGAGAGATCTCGCTCTGAACTTCATTAACGAGTCCTATAAATTTTGAAACACTCCTTTTACATATTAATCAATATTCTTAAATGTTATCGAACTATGTCCAACGATATATGATCATCGCATCATCTTTTCCCGTGGGGCAGATGAAGTAGAGTTCATCTGTTTCAATGACATATGGCATATATACACCAGATTTGTGGTGGACTCAGGTACGTTTTACTGACTTGAACCCGAATTCAAGACTTTCGGGTTGCAGTCTAGCGCTCTACCACTAGGCCACGCAGTCCCCGTACAGCGGTATATATTGCTAAAAAACAGTTTTTTAACTGCTGCACCATCCCCTCTCAACAACTGTTCCCCTCCACATCCGAACCTTTAATTCACGTCAATAATGCAACGGATGATCGTATTAAATACTTACTTAAGTAAAGTAAGTAAATTGCGTAATTAAAAATGTGTACAGTGACAAAGTTCTATATATGCCCGAATTAAAAGAACAAAAAAAAAACCCCGGCAGATCTGGGAATCAAGTGAATCAAAAGCCTATAATAAAACCTTTTAATACAAGCAAGGACATCTTAGCATGAAAGACAAGACAAAAATGCGCACCCAAATTCGGTGCAGTGGTTTCTATACAGTGCGCCATGTCTTCATAAGGGCACAGAGGATGCCGGGAGGAGAAAACGATGGATTGGTAGAAAAACATTCCTAAAGTAAGTAAACAGTTCTAAACATGAATTAATATGATAGAATTTCTCGACGTATTGTATATTTAATGTAAAACGGTTTGAAAATATGTTTTAGATCTAGAATGTTTACATGTGCTGTAATGTAGGGCTCTAGACTCTAGCTAGATCTAGAGTTGCTAGAGTCTAGCCTACCATGATTCTTGTAGTCTAGACTAGCCATTCACTGATCTTTGTGAAAACCTTATCTGTAAAGGACCGGAGCTTATAGGGTTTAAAAAGCGGCATATAGCGGCGCTGCCTGTGTATTGGGATAATTTCACATTTCCAATTACCTATATACTTAATATAACCTAAGGCTAACCCTAATCACAACCAACCACAACAATTACCTCAATCAAACTACAACTGCAACCACATGTAAACGTAAACATAACCATAAACGTGAACGTGTACGTGAACACTAACGCCAAAGCTAAAGCTAAAGCTAAAGCTAAAGCTAAAGCTAAAGCTAAAGCTAAAGCTACAGCTAAAGCTAAAGCTAACGCTAACGCTACCGTTACCGTTACCGCTAACGTAAACGTAAACGTAAACATCAAACAAATTAAACAAGAATATTGTCAAGTGCACGGCAAAGTATAAGACAAAGTAATCGATAAAGTATGTATTAAAATACATAACAAATTACGTTGACAACTACATAATAAAGTACTCATAAAAGGATTTAACACAGTGCATCAGATAGCATAAACGAATCACTTGATAAGGTGCATAGTTATGTTTCTAGTAAAGTACCTAAACACGTAGAAGATGAAGTAAAAGACAGAATACCTGCCCGATGACAAAGCTGTGTTTTAACAAACTTGACGTCACATAGATGCCTGCTGTTATCTTCAGCATGCTGTGTCATCTCCTCGTACTCCTCATTGTGGCCGCCTCCGTTGTGTCAGGTAATAATGTAATCAAACTGTAAGGTAATGTAAGGATGATGTAATCAAATCGTCATGTAATGCAAGAATGATGTAATCAAACTGTAAGGTAATGTAAGGATGATGTAATCAAACTGTAAGAATGATGTACTCGAACTGTAAGGTAATGTAAGGATGATGAATTCAAAATGTCAGGTTATGTAAGAATGATGTAATCAAACTGTAAGAATGATGTACTCGAACTGTAAGGTAATGTAAGGATGATGTAATCAAAATGTCAGGTTATGTAAGAATGATGTAATCAAACTGTAATGTAATGTAAGAATGATGTACTTGAAATGTCAGGTTATGTAAGAATGATGCAATCGAACTGTAAGGTAATGTAAGTGATATGTAATGAAAGCCTCTCTCACTCTACCATCCTTTCTCTTTCTCTCTTTCACCATTACCACCTCACTTCCCATTCTCTGTATTCCACAATCTCTTCTCTCTCCACATTTCTCACAAACCCTCTTTTTGTCCCGTCCCTCCACACCTCCTCCTTTCTCCTTCTACCTCTATATTCTCTCTATGACTTGTTCCCACCCCCATTTACCACCCTCTCCCCGTCTTTTCTTTCACTCTCCCAATCCACCTACCATCTTTTAATCCATCTCTCTCTCTCGTTCTCCTACACTCTCCCCCAACTACACTTCTATCCCTATCCCTCTCTCCCTATCTCTCCCACTCCCTATCTCTCCCTCTCTCTCCCTCTCCCTATCTCTCCCTCTCTCTCCCTCTCCCTATATCTCCCTCTGATCATCCTCAGTATGACAAGCAATGTAAGAGTATTACAATCATGTAATAAAACTTCTCTCTCTGCCTCCATCTCATAACGTATCCCCATCCATCTTTGTATCTCCTCTTTCTCTTTATTTTCTCCCTTCACTCCCAACTTGCCTCGTAAAATCTGTAGAGTATGCATCCTCATACAAACGTGTGTGGATGTTTCCTTTTGTACGGCGGCATTAAACCCCAAACAGTACTCTATCCTAAACTAAAACCTTGGTCTAAACAAAGCTTCACTCTCGCCCTCAATCCCTGGTTCCACTTTACATCAGTGCCATGACAAATGAAATCTGGACAAATGTAAAGGCTTCGTTCCGCAATGAGATGGGTGTGTGTGTGGGGGGGGGGGGGGGGGAGTGCGCACTTCCTTCAGATCATATCCGTCGCCCCGAGTCCCCCCCCCCCCATCCCGAAAATACGAAATGTTTAATATAAATAGATATTACCGGTATAAACCTTAACCATTGTCCGCCTTGCTATCCCCTTCGAGGGTTTCAAGTGCTTATCCCCCTTCACCCCCCCCCCCCCCCAAGTTAAAAATGTCTTGAAACACAATGATAAAAGATCTCAGACAAAATGTCTCTGTAATGTTATTAATATATATATATATATATATATATATATATATATATATATATATATATATATATATATATATACGTACACATGACTTTTATCTCTAGTCGACACTACCTGTCATGAACGGTTCGACCAGTGCCATGACAGCCTCCTCAGCACCTCTATCTATACATCCAAACCTAATTTCGCATGCAGGTAAGTCAAGTTCATCATACAGCCAGGTCAAGGTCATCATACATCCAAACCTAATTTCGCATGCAGGTAAGTCAAGGTCATCATACATCCAAACCTAATTTCGCATGCAGGTAAGTCAAGGTCATCATACATCCAAACCTAATTTTGCATGCAGGTAAGTCAAGTTCATCATACAGCCAAACCTAACTTCGCATGCAGGTAAGTCAAGGTCATCATACAGCCAAACCTAATTTCGCATGCAGATAAGTCAAGTTCATCATACAGCCAAACCTAACTTCGCGTGCAGGTAAGTCAAGGTCATCATACATCCAAACCTAATTTCGCATGCAGGTAAGTCAAGGTCATCATACAGCCAAACCTAATTTCGCATGCAGGTAAGTCAAGGTCATCATACATCCAAACCTAATTTTGCATGCAGGTAAGTCAAGTTCATCATACAGCCAAACCTAACTTCGCATGCAGGTAAGTCAAGGTCATCATACAGCCAAACCTAATTTCGCATGCAGATAAGTCAAGTTCATCATACAGCCAAACCTAACTTCGCGTGCAGGTAAGTCAAGGTCATCATACATCCAAACCTAATTTCGCATGCAGGTAAGTCAAGGTCATCATACAGCCAAACCTAATTTCGCATGCAGGTAAGTCAAGGTCATCATACAGCCAAACCTAATTTCGCATGCAGGTAAGTCAAGGTAATCATACAGCCTAACCTAACTTCGCATCTTGTAGTTTTATTATTTTCATTATTTACGATTTTAATTAACGTTTCGAATTTTTCTAATTCTTTTACCCATAGGATAAAAATTCACAATCACACTAGGTTTGAAAAATACTAGCTGGCCAGTACGATGACGAGAATTAAGTGACCTACTTACACGACCTATTTTTGTCCTCAGATCACTAGAGAATGATATAGAACAAGCCGACCTGCGGCGTAGCATACGCCGCTATTAAGTTGTTTTATTTTCGAGTTTTCAGTAATTCATAATGTGTGAATTCGACACTACCAATGCTGCGACTGAAAATATTTGCTTTAAAAAAATATCAGTAACTCATTAAGGACGATTACTTCCCCCACCCCCACCCACACACTGCCCCCCCTTGAAAGCAGGCTCCCCGTAGCAGAGGCGTAGCGACCTTTCCCGCGCCCGGGGACAAACTTTCAATTTGCACCCCCCCTTAAACTTTCGATTTGCACCCCCCTCAAACTTTCGATTTGCAGCCCCCCTCCCACGCTACGCCTCTTCCCCGTAGTTTCAAATCGTTTAAAAAATCAATTATCTTCCCCTTATAACCGTAACTAATTCGACCCGGATCTACAATTGTAAACATTCGGCGTGAACCACAGCTCACCAGACTGGAAACCGAGGGAGGGGGCGGGAGGAGGGTTAGATAGTCGGCTTGCGTTGTGGTGTCCACAAAGAGAATTATTTATACGAGCTGACCTGCGACGTAGCATACGCCGCTATCTAGTTGTTTTATTTTCTACTTATCAACAATTCATAATTTTTAAATTCGACACTACCCCACCCCCTGCCTCTCCCACCCCACCCCGCCCAGTGAAAGCAGCCGTTTACAGACGACAATGAAAATATCAAGCAGAACTTATTACATCCCCTTAGTTAGCAATGTAAACAGAAAGTGTTATTTCAACGCCAAGGGTAGACAAAGGTACAGAATATAGTCCAAGTTAAGACAGAACAGACAGACCCGACGGGTTCCGAACCTACCACTCCTCACGGCACCGAATCGCCTCGCCTTCCATGCATCAAGTCAGACGTGTAACCGATTCTGCCAATGTAGAGGTAGAGCTGATTGGCAGAATCGGTTACACGTCTGACTTGATGCATGGAAGGCGAGGCGATTCGGTGCCGTGAGGAGTGGTAGGTTCGGAACCCGTCGGGTCTGTCTGTTCTGTCTTAACTTGGACTATATTCTGTACCTTTGTCTACCCTTGGCGTTGAAATAACACTTTCTGTTTACATTGCTATTTCAGTCACGCCTGCTTCCACCCCTCACCATGTTTACATCCCCTTAGTTTCAAATCGTTTAAAATCTAAATTATCTGCCCCTAATAGCCGTCACTTATTCGAACCGGCTCTTCTATTGTAAACATTCGGGGTGAACCACAGCTCACCTGACTTGTGGGGATGAGGATGATAGTGATATGCCTAGAAAGCGGGATAGCAATGGCTAAGCTGCGTGGTGTCTCGTATGAAGAGAATTATATACATAGATAGAATGCCTGTTGAATGTCAAATGGATACCAGAGTAAAAAGTTGGTTAATGTAGTAATTCCTGTCCTCAGATCACTAGAGGATTATATAGAATGCCTGTTGAATGTCAAATGGATACCAGAGTAAAAAGTTGGTTAATGTAGTAATTCCTGTCCTCAGATCACTAGAGGATTATATAGAATGCCTGTTGAATGTCAAATGCGAATTCACGCAAGACGAGAAGATCGCACACGACACGAAAATCGAAGTCGCTGAAAAACAGATCGCTAAGGAATGTGGTGAGCTGATGAACGCGTCTTCTCAGCTATCGGTAGCTTTAACACTTTAACACAGCAATAATGATCGTTTAGTGAAGCTACCTGTCCCCACACCCCATGTTATTTCCATTATATATATATATATATAATATATATATATATATATATATATATATGCATATATATAAGTTAAAGTTAGTAAAGTTTCTTTTTCGAACCGGGCGGTCCATGGTGCAAGTGAAGTAAGGTTCACCTGTTTCTTTGACATCGACAAATGAACGGTTACTGTGATCAGCACTAAACCCAGCAGCCTCTACTTTACCTAAAGTGAGTTAGGTACCCATAAGAGCTGGGTGGACTCAAGGACTGACTTGAAACCGGATTCGAACTCGAGACATTTCTACCGCTAGGCCACTCCATCCCATATATATATATATATATATATATATATATATATATATATATATATATATATATATATATATATATATATATATATATATATATATATATATATATATATATATATAAATAAATAAATAAATAAATAAATATATATATATATATATATACATATATATATGTAGATAAGATATATATGTATGTATGACTAAAGCTACTTTAAGTAATAATAATTTATTATTACATTTTTTTAATTATCTAAATTCAGGTCGATTAAACTGCCTACATGCGCTGAAGAAATGCGATTTTTATTTTAACTACGATTCACGTAGTGGTATAACATGTTCGTAAGTAATAATCTACCTATCCAGTGTATTTTCTCAATGTTTAACATGTGGTTATGTCACAATCAGTTTGTACAATTAATCATGTCGTGGTGGTTGACTAACGTTCTAGCTACACAATACAAAGATTATATTGGTCGAGTTTTCGATCTTAGACCGAGATATTATATGGCTCTAGATTTCGCTAAAGAAGTGGAGAAATTATATGGCTCGAGATTTTCCTAAAGAAGAGTAGAAAGTATATGGCTTTAGATTTTGCTAAAGAAGTGTAGAAATTATATAGCTCTAGATTTTGCTAAAGAAGTGTAGAAATTATTTGGCTCTAGATTTCGCTAAAGAACTGTAGAAATTATATGGCTCTAGATTTTGCTAAAGAAGTGTAGAAATTATATGGCTCTAGATTTTGCTAAAGAAGTGTAGAAATTATATAGCTCTAGATTTTGCTAAAGAAGTGTAGAAATTATTTGGCTCTAGATTTCGCTAAAGAACTGTAGAAATTATATGGCTCTAGATTTCGCTAAAGAAGTGTAGAAATTATATGGCTCTAGATTTCGCTAAAGAAGTGTAGAAATTATATGGCTCTAGATTTTGCTAAAGAAGTGTAGAAATTATATGGCTCTTGATTTTGCTAAAGAAGTGTAGAAATTATATGGCTCTAGATTTTTCTAAAGAAGTGTAGAAATTATATAATCCAGGGTTTAAGTAAAGGAGTGTAGAAATTATATGGCTCTAAATTTTGCTAAAGAAGTGTAGAAATTATATAGTCCAGGGTTTAAGTAAAGGAGTGTAGAAATTATATGGCTCTAGATTTTGCTAAAGGAGTGTAGAAATTATATAGTCCAGGGTTTAAGTAAAGGAGTGCAGAAATTATATGGCTCTAGATTTTGCTAAAGGAGTGTAGAAATTATATAGTCCAGGGTTTAAGTAAAGGAGTGTAGAAATTATATGGCTCTAGATTTTGCTAAAGGAGTGTAGAAATTATATAGTCCAGGGTTTAAGTAAAGCAGTGTAGAAATTATATGGCTCTAGATTTTGCTAAAGGAGTGTAGAAATTATATAGTCCAGGGTTTAAGTAAAGAAATGTAGACATTTTTAGGCTCGAGATTTTACTAAAAAAAGTGTAGAAATTGTATGGTTCGAGTTCTTGCTAAAGAAGTGCAGAAATTATATTGCTGAAAAAGATGTAGAGAATATATGGCTCTTAGTTTGGATTTTCCACTATATTTTAATCCAGTATACTTCTTCTGTGCTTGTGCCAATCTAAACAAAACTCATTATGATGCAACAGCTGTAAGCACACCTAGTTTTAAAACAACTCAATTGTTTATGTATTTATAAACACGATGTGTTCCTTAGAGGTCTCACGGAATACCAGCGATGTCTTTTAACCATGGAGTGCCAGATGACCACCGATGAGAATGTGGTACACGGACGCAGGCTCAGGTTCGTCAAGCAAGAGCTGAAGATGCTATGTGGTAGGTCTGAGAAATAAGTGTGGTACGGCCTGGTCGAATGGTAGAGCTTACAACTGCTAACCCGAGAGTCTCGAGTTCGGATACCGGGCCCGAGAAGATCCAATGGGTACTTGAGTTACTTTAGGGAGAAAGGCGGCTGGTTTTAGCGCCGACAACTCTATCACTTTAAAATAGATGAACTCTACTTCCTCTGCCCCATGTGTCTTAGACCAGAAAGGGAAAAGATGATAAAATATTTATTGGATAGGTATTGTACAACTAAAGCTCATCTTCCAGACCTGGATAGTAGTTAGAGAGATGAAGTAGAGTTCATTTGTTTCTATGACCTCGACATGTAAGTTAACAGAGCGACCAGTTCAATCCCAAACACCTTTTCATTCCATCAGAGTTAGGACTGCTAGGTAGACTTGGGACGTCAGATGTTATCTGAAGACATTCGGGGCGGTATGTGGGCGCACTAGCCTTCGACCTCGCCATCCTGTGATGTTCTACACAGGGCTAGTAGCAAAACACAGTTATTTTACACAGGGCTAGTAGCAAAATACAGTTATTCTACACTGTGCTAGTCTTTTTTCTAGTCTTATAGCGTTAAACTCTGCACTCTTTGTTTTAAATATATTTAGATTATTTTTATATCAGTATGTATGTGTATATATATATATATATATATATATATATATATATATATATATATATATATATATATATATATATATATATATATATATATATATATATATATACTAATTTCTAGATGTTAACGGCCAATTGCGTAAGTAATTTTTTTTTGTGTATTGTCGTCGTTTCGATATATTATGGACTCCATACTAGTTACTTTTAATTTGGTTTTTTTAATAGTTACAAGTTTTGCTCACTTACATTTTTCTAATGAACGCTTTTAACATATTATATATATATATATATATATATATATATATATATATATATATATATATATATATATATATATATATATCGAGTCTTGACAATTATTAGCTGGCGGTCAAGACTACAAGTGATGCAATGGCACAACATAGTACACAACATATCAATGGAAAAAAAAAGAGAAATTCAAAATGTCGAAAATGTCGATCTTAAATTAACAAGTTATTAGTGATTGATAATTTATTACAATAAAATAATTACCACATCAATGTGCTATTTTCTATTTTTGTAAACTACAACTCATTTTTCCATTGTAACTTTAGCTTAATCACACTGTAACATTATTATTCCTTGGAGTTATTACTTGACACAGCCATGCTGAGGAAAGGTATCACCAGCAACATGATCTGCTACCACGCTGAGATTAATTACGGATGTTTTGACAACTATTCCCCGTACAACAACGCGAGGGGTTCACTGCCTGATCCACCGGAATCGTTGAGACCTAATGTCTTGTTTTATACGAGGTTGGAATTTTTCTATACATCTCTCCATCCATCCATCCATCCTCCTACCTATCCACATCCACCCCCTCATCCACCCCCTCATCCCCCCCCCTTCAACCATCCACTTATCCACCCACCCATCCACCCACCTATCCACCCCCACTCACCTACCCACCCATCCACCCACCCATCCACCACCGCACCCACTCGTCTACCCACCCATCTACCCACTCACCTACCCACCCATCTACCCACCCACCAACGCACCCATCCACCCACCCATCCATCCACCCACCCATCCACCCACCCATCCACCCACCCATTCACTAATCCACCAACGCACCCATTCACCCACCTATCCCCTCACCCACCCATCCACCTACCCACCCACCCATCAACTTATCTACCACCCCATCCCATCCACTCACCCACCCATCCGACACCCATTCATTTACCATACCATCCACTCACCAACCCTACCATCCACTTATCCACCCACCCATCTATCCACACATCCACTTTCCCACCCACTCATCCACTTTCCCACCCACTCATCCACCCAACCATCCACTCATCTACCCAGCCGTCCAACCAACCGTCTACCAAACCACTCATCAGAGTTGTAGCAACCCTTCCCGGCGCCCGTTGACAAACTTTTCGATTTGCACCCCCCCCCCTGATACTTTCGATTTGCACACCCCAACCCCCCCTCAATATTTCCATTTGCACCACCCCCCCTCACACTTTTGATTTGCACCCACCCCCCTCAAGATTTCTATTTGCAACCCCCTCGACCTTTCAATTTATTTTTCCAACCCATTTTGGCGCCCCCTAAGGTCGGCGCCCGTGGACATATGTCCCCCCGCCCCCCCCCCCTAACTACGCTACTGCCACTCATCCAACCATACACCCCTCAAACCTTCCACCAACCAAACAACATCTACCACATCAAACTATTTCCCTGATACCCTCATCACTTTGCCACAGAAATACCTCGTTCAGCGTGCCGATTGAAGTGGGCAACCAAAAGCTGAAAACAGTGACCAGCAGCCTAAAGGATGATCAAACGACATTCTTCATCACTCACGGATTCGGCACTGCCATAAACCCCAGTTGGATGGAGGAAATGAAGGACGAATTACTTGCCGCGGTGTGTATTTTAAAACAGGGGGTAGCACTGTAGAAACATCCGTTTTTTCTTTGCTTTCTACTTCAGCTACATCCGTTTTTTTCTTGACTTTCTACCGCCCCCCCCCCACCACCGTCATACCGCCCACTCTCATCACAAGCACACAACTGTTCCATCTGCAGATCTCGTCATTGAAAGTTGAATCACTTGCTATTTTCGTCACACGTCACGATTCACCAACTTACGTTCAACCCCCCCCCTTCCCCCCGTCACTCCTCACTATTCCCCACTTACACCCCCCTCCCCGTGTCATACGTCATGATTCCCCACCTGACTCCCCCCCCCCCGTCCCACGTCACGACTCACCACACTACGCACTCCACACTTCCACAGTAAGATTAATATAAATATATAAATAGATGTGAAAAAACCTTGATGTATAAATTTAGGAGGTAGGACGTTACAACATTGTTATTGCCCGGTAACCCCTTAGCTAAACGACCTGCTTGACCATAAATGTACAGTACAGAAAGGGGATAAGTGATTGCTGGGGGGAGGAGGTGGGGGGGGGGGGGAGGGTAAACTGCTTGGTTTTTTTAAATTGACCGTAGGAGGGGGATTTTCAGTGTGTGTTTTATATATATATATATATATAAATATATATATATATAAATATATATATATATATATATATATATATATATATATATATATATATATATATATATATATATATATATATATATATATATATATATATATGTGAGTTTATATATTTATATATATATATATCTATATATATAAAGCAAAGTGGTCAAGTGCCCGATAGGGCACTTCCCGGCGCCGCAGGCGCGTCAAATTTGGCACGATGGTGCCTTCGGGCAATAGAACACGAAGGCCGGTGACGGTTGGCCGAAAAGTCTACGGAGAAGGGGTCAAAACTGACCTCGACTGACCGGCGCCTTATATGGGCTATATTACGAAAAAAAAATTCCTCCGACGACCCCCCTTGAAATTTTGTGAGGTGGTAGGAGAACACCTTGGGGTGTCACAAAAAACTCGCCATGTCCGGGAAAAATCGGGAAATGGGTCAAAACTGACCAGTCGTATTTCCCTATATAATCTTTGTATTTTATGGGAAAAACAGAGGGTCATTTCAAAACGGATTTTAGGGCACTTACCCTGTTTACATCTGGCTAATTTTTGGCATGTTTATAGGTAAATGGCTTGACCGTAGGGCAGACCTGTCGGTCTTACTCAAAGCCCTCGACGAGGGCTAAAAAGTGACCGCGAGTGAAATTCTCTTTATATGAGCTCTATTACGAAAAAAAATTTCCTCCGACGACCCCCCTTGATATTTTGTGAGGTGGTAGGAGAACACCTTGGGGTGTCACAAAAAACTCGCCATGTCCGGGAAAAATCGGGAAATGGGTCAAAACTGACCAGTCGTATTTCCCTATATAATCTTTGTATTTTATGGGAAAAACAGAGGGTCATTTCAAAACGGATTTTAGGGCACTTACCCTGTTTACATCTGGCTAATTTTTGGCATGTTTATAGGTAAATGGCTTGACCGTAGGGCAGACCTGTCGGTCTTACTCAAAGCCCTCGACGAGGGCTAAAAAGTGACCGCGAGTGAAATTCTCTTTATATGAGCTCTATTACGAAAAAAAATTTCCTCCGACGACCCCCCTTGATATTTTGTGAGGTGGTAGGAGAACGCCTTGGGGTGTCACAAAAAACTCGGCATATCTGGGAAAACTTCGTAAAGGGGTCAAAACTGACCAGTTGTATTTCCCTATATAATCTTTGTATTTTATGGGAAAAACAGAGGGTCATTTCAACGCAGACTTTAGGGCACTAACTCTCTTTACATCTGGCTAATGTTTGGCATGCTTATAGGTAAATGGTTTGACCTTTAAGGAAAGCAGTCGGTTTGACTCAAAGCCCTCGACGAGGGCTAAAATGTGACCGCGAGTGAAATTCTCTTCATATGAGCTCTATTACGAAAAAAAATTTCCTCCGACGACCCCCCTTGATATTTTGTGGGGTGGTAGGAGAACACCTAGGGGTGTCACAAAAAACTCGGCATATCTGGGAAAACTTCGTAAAGGGGTCAAAACTGACCAGTTGTATTTCCCTATATAATCTTTGTATTTTATGGGAAAAACAGAGGGTCATTTCAACGTAGACTTTAGAGTACTTAAACGCAGTATATCTGGCTAATTTTTGGCATGCATATAGGGAAATGGCTTGACCTTTAGAGAAAACTGTCGGTTACACTCAAAGCCCTCGACGAGGGCTAAAAAGTGACCGCGAGTGAAATTCTCTTTATATGAGCTCTATTACGAAAAAAAATTTCCTCCGACGACCCCCCTTGATATTTTGTGGGGTGGTAGGAGAACACCTAGGGGTGTCACAAAAAACTCGGCATATCTGGGAAAACTTCGTAAAGCGGTCAAAACTGACCAGTTGTATTTCCCTATATAATCTTTGTATTTTATGGGAAAAACAGAGGGTCATTTCAACGCAGACTTTAGGGTACTTAAGCTCAGTATATTTGGCTAATTTTTTGCATACTCTTAGGTCAATGGCTTGACCTTTAGGGAAAACTGTCGGTTACACTCAAAGCCCTCGACGAGGGCTAAAAAGTGAACGCGAGTGAAATTCTCTTTATATGAGCTCTATTACGAAAATAAATTTCCTCCGACGACCCCCCTTGATATTTTGTGAGGTGGTAGAAGAACACCTAGGGGTGTCACAAAAAACTCGGCATATCTGGGAAAACTTCGTATAGCGGTCAAAACTGACCAGTTGTATTTCCCTATATAATGTTTGTATTTTATGGGAAAAACAGAGGGTCATTTCAACGCAGACTTTAGGGTACTTAAGCTCAGTATATTTGGCTAATTTTTTGCATACTCTTAGGTCAATGGCTTGACCTTTAGGGAAAACTGTCGGTTACACTCAAAGCCCTCGACGAGGGCTAAAAAGTGACCGCGAGTGAAATTCTCTTTATATGAGCTCTATTACGAAAAAAAATTTCCTCCGACGACCCCCCTTGATATTTTGTGAGGTGATAGAAGAAGACCTAGGGGTGTCACAAAAAACTCGGCATATCTGGGAAAACTTCGTAAAGCGGTCAAAACTGACCAGTTGTATTTCCCTATATAATCTATGTATTTTATGGGAAAAACAGGGAAATTTTAACACAATTTTTAGGTTACTTAATGTCTGTACATCATGCTAAGTTTTTGCATACACTAATATAGATGACTAGGCCGTATGGAAAAACTGTTGGTCAGACTCAAAGCCCTCGACGAGGGCTAAAAGATGATCTTGAGTGAAATTCTCCTTATATGAGATATATATATAAATAAATTGACGAACGATCCCCTTAATATTATGTGACGTCGTAGACCGACCATGGAGGGTAACAAAAAAACTTTAATCCCGTCGGAAACAGCCATTATAGTCGTTAAATATGTTCATATAATGTAATTTCTTATATAAGCAAACAATATAAGTAAACAATGACATACGTCATACGTTCAGTTTTCAAGGGAGGTAACGTTTTTGAAATTATTTTTTTTTCAAATAATTGTATACTATTTTAAACAGAAACAGAAAATGACGAAGTATAGCATTTGTTTTAGTACAAAATTGAGTTGTTAATTAAGTTAAGTAACCTAATTAAATAAATTAATTAATTTCAAAAGGCAGTGTAATATAAACTATGAGATATACTGTTCATGAAACCTGTGTAGTTCTAATTCCATTTTAGTTATACATTGCGTACTTTCCAGAAATTCTCTTGGAACGGAATGTAAATGACGAACAAAAACATTATTTTCTAAAATTAGCATTACTGTTTAAATTAAACTTATTAAAGCACTCCACACCCAATCCATCGCTAAATAATTAACTATTCAAATTCTCAAATGTTTTTTAAAAACCTAAGCGAAGCTAGGCAGTATGCCTAGTATATATATATAGAGAGAGAGAGAGAGAGACAGACAGAGAGAGACATAATGGTAATTGCATACATTAGTGTTTATTACTATTTAATGTTTTTATGCATCCAATAACCACCACCATTAGAACCACTTGATTTTCTATTTCCCTGGTCTAGAAAGAAGCCCGGGTCATTATCATCGACTGGTCCCATGGCTCGGCCATCCCCAACTACATGCAAGCCGCGGCCAACCTGCGCCTGGTGGCCAAGATGGCCAGCTTCCTGATCCAGGACATGGTCGAGTTGAATCTCAATTTGGCCAACGTCCATTTGATTGGTCACTCGCTTGGCGCCCACCTGATGGGTGAGGTGGGGAAGGCTTTTAAGGGGCAGATTGGCCGGATCACAGGTAGAAAAAAATCTCTTTGTTTTCAACTGTCAAAAATGTTGTTGATTGCTCAGTGTGAAAATATAGTTAAATGTTAGTCTATGAAGTGGTGGAGTGAAAAAGCACTCGTAATGTAAGTGGTAAAGATCCTTAGTTCAGAGGAGACTCGTATGTTTTTGTGACCTCGACATATGAGGGATAGTGCGGTCAGCACTATCGGTTCCACAAAGTGAGTCAGGTATCCATTGGAGCTGGGTGGTCCTAATGACCGAGACTGTTAACAAGAAAGTCTGCAACTAGGTTTGAGTCCTTAGGATATCACAGTGACCGTCATGCTCATCTGGTTACCTGAATATGTCCCACATAATCAATCTCGCTCAACATGCAGAGATCAAACAAATCCCATCCTCACCTTTATCTTTGTGCACTCATACTTCCCCTCCACGTTAAGGCAAATCTCTATCATAAGAGTCATAGGATGAACCAGTGGCGTAGCCAGGATCGTCTCAAGGGGGTGGGGGGGGGTCCAATTTTTACCCAGGACAAATTTTCGATTTGAACCTTCCCCCTCAAGCCTTCGATTTGCACCCCCCTTCCTCCCGCAAACTTTCTATTTGCACCCCTCCCCCTCAAACTTTCGATTTGCACGCACCCCCCCTCAAACTTTCGATTTGTACCCCCCTCATACTTTTTATGTATATACCGAGGGGTCTATGTGGGGGGTTATGACCCCCCCCCCTCCTAACCCCCCTGCCTACGCCACTGAGATGAACGTTTTTTTAACCACAGATATTACTACGACTTGAAAATCAAATATGGATTTTAGCTTTGTTCTGAGGCCTAAATAGCACATTTTTACAAGATATTTTCTCAACATTGTAGCTGACAATATGCATACAAGTTTATGCATATACACATATAAATGTGTATGCGTCAGTGTATATGTATGTGTGTGTGTGTGTGCAAATATATAAAACGTACAGCTCTTTAGTTCGATAAACACTTGTATGCCCACTTCATCACATACCCCACCCGTGTGAAGCCAGAAAGCCAGCCAAACAGTTCCTGAAGTAATAGTTCTGCCGTACCCTGGTCACATGACTGAGACTGTGACTAACGTATCGTCCCTCCTCTCCACAGGGCTAGACCCTGCTGCCCTCGGCTTCGATAAACTCAACGCCACCGTACGACTGGATCCGACGGATGCTAAGTTTGTGGATGTTATCCACACCGATATGGCGAGGCTGAGTTCGATATCCCTGGGGTTGGGCGCGGTCCAGGCTATGGGTCACGTTGACTTCTACCCCAATGGTGGCATGGAACAGCCTGGCTGCAACAAGAATGTCTTGAACCAATACCTCAAGGAGTTGAGTAAGTCTGTCTAGAATTGTTACACCTGGTTTGATTTTAAAAGAATTTATCGCCAAGACGACATCGAAAATATTGTTTTCAAAATTACTCTAACTTGGTTAGGGTTAAGATAAGGGCTATGATCAGTTTTGTTTAAGATCATTGATTGATTAATTCATTGATTCATTGATTGATTCATTGATTTATTTACTGATTGATTCACTGATCGATTCATTGATTGATTTATTGATTGATTCATTGATTGATTCATTGATTGATTGATTGGTTGATTCATTGATTGATTGATTCATTGATCGATTCATTGATTGATTAATTTCATTGATTGATTCATTGACTGATTCATTGAATGATTGATTCATTGATTCATTGATTGATTCGTTGATTTATTTACTGATTGATTCACTGATCGATTCATTGATTGATTAATTGATTTATTCATTGATTGATTCATTTATTGATTTATTGATAGATTCCTTGATTGATCATTGAATGATTGATTGATTGATTTATTGATTGATTCATTGATTGATTCATTGATTCATTGATTCATTGATTCATTGATTGATTCATTGATTCATTGATTCATTGATTGATTAATTCATTGATTGATTGATTGATTGATTCATCGATTGATTCATTGATTGATTCATTGATTGATTCATTGATTGATTCACTGATCGATTCATTGATTGATTCATTGATTGATTCATTGTTTGATTCATTGATTTATTCATTGATTGATTGTTTGATTCATTCATTGATTGATTCATTGATTGATTCATCGATTGATTCATTGATTGATTCATTGATTGATTCATTGATTGATTCATTGATTGATTCATTGATTGATTCATTGATTGATTCATTGATTGATTCATTGATTGATTCATAGATTGACTGGTTTTATTGACTGATTGGCTGATTGACTGATTAATTGATTAACTGATTCATTGTTTTATTATTTGATTGATTGATTGATTGATTGATTGATTGATTGATTGAATTACCCAGAGGAAGAAGAGTGCAACCACGCCCGTGCCATCTGGTTGTTCATAGACTCGATCAACACGGCGCATGCGTGTATGGGCTACGGCTGTGTGGACTACGTGAGTACACTTAGGCTAGGCACCACTCATGGAAACTCACTCGGTAGTCGAGTTCTCTACTTTAAAATCCTCACAAAACGGTCGTTCACAATTTTCTACTATAGATCAAACCACACATTATGACTAGGTTAATAGTTTTTTTTTTTTTTCAAACGTGGCTGTCATATTGCAGATGAAGTAGAGTTCATGTTTTTAACCTAGGCATATAATGGAAAAATGTGCGCAGTTATATGCGTAGCTTTCGTTAGAGTCCCTAATGTTAGTCAGGTGCCTATTAGAACTGGATAGACTCAGTGACGTCATTTGGGCGGTTCCTGGATCCAAACTCGAGACATCAGGCTAGCGGTCCTACGCTCTACCGTTCGACCATCACGCCCCATGACTAGTTTAAAAGAGTCTACACACCGTCTACACACCTTCTACACACCGTCTACACACCGTCTACACACAGTCTACACACAGTCTACACACCGTGTACACGCCGTCTACACACCGTCTACACACCGTCTATACACAGTCTACACACCGTCTATACACAGTCTACACACAGTCTACACAACGTCTACACACCGTCTACACACCGTGTACACGCCGTCTACACACCGTCTATACACAGTCTACACACAGTCTACACACCGTGTACACGCCGTCTACACACCGTCTACACACAGTATAAACACTTTCTACACACCGTCTACACACTGTCTACACACAGTCTACACACCGTCTACACACGGTCTACACACAGTTTACTGACCGCCTACACACAGTCTACACATACTCTACACACCGTCTACACACCTTCTACACACTGTCTACACACATCATACACACCGTCTACACACCTTCTACACACTGTCTACACACATCATACACACAGTCTACACACCGTCTACACACCTTCTACACACTGTCTACACACATCATACCCACCGTCTACACACTGTCTACACACCGTCTACACACATCATACACACATACCCACCGTCTACACACAGTCTACACATCGTCTACACATCGTCTACACACCGTCTACACACATCATACACACCGTCTACACACAGTCTACACACCGTCTACACACCGTCTACACACTGTCTACACACATCATACACACAGTCTACACAACGTCTACACACAGTCTACATACAGTCTACACACCGTCTACACAGTCTACACACAGTCTACACACAGTCTACACACCGTCTACACACAGTCTACACACATCATACACACAACCTACAAACAGTCTACACACCGTCTACACACCGTCTAAACACAACATACACACCGTCTACACACATTCTACACAGTCTACACACAGTGTACACGTTGTCTACACACCGTCTACACACCGTCTACACACCGTCTACACACAGTCTACACACAGTGTACAAACAGTGTACACGTTGTCTACACACCGTCTAAACGCCGTCTACATACAGTATAAACACAGTCTACACACTTTCTACACACCATCTACACACCGTCTACACAGTCTACACACCGTCTACACACAGTTACACATCGTCTACACACGGTCTAAACACAGTTTACACACAGTCTACACACAGTGTACATACCGTCTACACACCGTCGACACACGGTCTAGACACAGTTTACACACCGTCTACACACCGTCTACACACAGTTTACTGACCACCTACACACAGTCTAGACATAGTCTACACACCGTCTACGCACCGTCTACACACTGTCTACACACACCATACACACCGTCTATACACAGTCTACACACCGTCTACACACAGTCTACACACAGTCTACAGACAGTCTACACACAGTCTACACACCGTCTACACACCGTCTACACACAGTCTACACACCGTCTACACACCCTATACACACAGTCTACACACCGTCTACACACAGTCTACACAACGTCTACACACGGTCTAAACACAGTTTACACACCGTCTACACACAGTTTACTGACCGCCTACACACAGTCTACACACAGTCTACAAACAGTCTACACATAGTCAACACACCGTCTACACACCTTCTACACACTGTCTACACACATCATACACACCGTCTACACACTGTCTACACACATCATACACACAGTCTACACACCGTCTACACACAGTTTACTGACCGCCTATACACCGTCTACACACAGTCTACACACCGTCTACACATAGTCTACACACCGTCTACACACTGTCTACACACATCATACCCACCGTCTACACACAGTCTACACACCGTCTACACACATCATACACACATCATACACACCGTCTACACACAGTCTACACACCGTCTACACACCGTCTACACACCGTCTACACATCGTCTACACACTGTCTACACACATCATACACATCGTCTACACACAGTCTACACACCGTCTACACACTGTCTACACACATCATACACACAGTCTACACACCGTCTACACACCGTCTACACACCGTCTACACACCGTCTACACACAGTCTACACACAGTCTACACACAGTCTACACACCGTCTACACACAGTCTACACACATCATACACACAACCTACAAACAGTCTACACACCGTCTACACACCGTCTAAACACAACATACACACCGTCTACACACATTCTACACAGTCTACACACAGTGTACACGTTGTCTACACACCGTCTACACACCGTCTACACACCGTCTACACACAGTCTACACACAGTGTACAAACAGTGTACACGTTGTCTACACACCGTCTAAACGCCGTCTACATACAGTATAAACACAGTCTACACACTTTCTACACACCATCTACACACCGTCTACACAGTCTACACACCGTCTACACACAGTTACACATCGTCTACACACGGTCTAAACACAGTTTACACACAGTCTACACACAGTGTACATACCGTCTACACACCGTCGACACACGGTCTAGACACAGTTTACACACCGTCTACACACCGTCTACACACAGTTTACTGACCACCTACACACAGTCTAGACATAGTCTACACACCGTCTACGCACCTTCTACACACTGTCTACACACACCATACACACCGTCTATACACAGTCTACACACCGTCTACACACAGTCTACACACAGTCTACACACAGTCTACACACAGTCTACACACCGTCTACACACCGTCTACACACAGTCTACACACCGTCTACACACCCTATACACACAGTCTACACACCGTCTACACACAGTCTACACACCGTCTACACACGGTCTACACACCGTCTACACACCGTCTACACACAGTTTACTGACCGCCTACACACAGTCTACACACAGTATACACACAGTCTACACATAGTCAACACACCGTCTACACACCTTCTACACACTGTCTACACACATCATACACACCGTCTACACACAGTCTACACACCGTCTACACATAGTCTACACACCGTCTAAACACCTTCTACACACTGTCTACACACATCATACACACAGTCTACACACCGTCTACACACAGTTTACTGACCGCCTATACACCGTCTACACACAGTCTACACACCGTCTACACATAGTCTACACACCGTCTACACACCTTCTACACACTGTCTACACACATCATACCCACCGTCTACACACAGTCTACACACCGTCTACACACCGTCTACACACCGTCTACACACCGTCTACACACAGTCTACACACAGTCTACACACAGTCTACACACCGTATACACACATCATACACACCGTCTACACACAGTCTACACACAGTCTACACACCGTCTACACACCGTCTACACACCGTCTACACACCGTCTACACACCGTCTACACACCGTCTACACAACGTCTACACACTGTCTATACAAGTCTACACACAGGCTACACACCGTCTACACACCGTCTACACACTGTCTACACACATCATACACACAGTCTACACACCGTCTACACACAGTTTACTGACTGCCTATACACCGTCTACACACAGTCTACACACCGTCTACACATAGTCTACACACCGTCTACACACCTTCTACACACTGTCTACACACATCATACCCACCGTCTACACACAGTCTACACACCGTCTACACACATCATACACACATCATACACACCGTCTACACACAGTCTACACACCGTCTACACACCGTCTACACACCGTCTACACATCGTCTACACACTGTCTACACACATCATACACATCGTCTACACACAGTCTACACACCGTCTACACACTGTCTACACACATCATACACACAGTCTACACACCGTCTACACACCGTCTACACACATCATACACACAGTCTACACACCGTCTACACACCGTCTACACATCGTCTACACACTGTCTACACACATCATACACATCGTCTACACACAGTCTACACACCGTCTACACACTGTCTACACACATCATACACACAGTCTACACACAGTCTACACACCGTCTACACACCGTCTACACACCGTCTACACAACGTCTACACACCGTCTACACACAGTCTACACACTGTCTATACAAGTCTATACACAGGCTACACACCGTCTACACACCGTCTACACACCGTCTACACATCGTCTACACACTGTCTACACACATCATACACATCGTCTACACACAGTCTACACACCGTCTACACACTGTCTACACACATCATACACACAGTCTACACACCGTCTACACACCGTCTACACACCGTCTACACAACGTCTACACACCGTCTACACACCGTCTACACACCGTCTACACACATCATACACACCGTCTACACACTGTCTACACACCGTCTACACACATCATACACACCGTTTACACACAGGCTACACACCGTCTACACACAGTCTACACACTGTCTATACAAGTCTACACACAGGCTACACACCGTCTACACACCGTCTACACAACGTCTACACACAGTCTACACACAGTCTACACACAGTCTACACACAGTCTACACACAGTCTACACACAGTCTACACACCGTCTACACACAGTGTACACACCGTCTACACACATTCTACCGATAGCATACATTTGATAAGCTGGACAAAGCAGCGAATTCATAAATCGTTGAGTTGTATTGTAACGTTACTCATCGGTTGGAATCAACAACATGAATGTTCGTGATTATTTTTCTCTCTCTCTACAGACCGACTTCTTGAGCGGAAACTGTGGTTTTAACTGCTATAATAAGAACTGCAGTCACCTAGGGATGTCGGCAAGCCCAGAAAAAGGACTTGGGAGGATGTACCTTGCTACTAGTGCTGCCTCGCCATACTGCGGTAATGGCCCTTTGTGGTTACTGGTGTTGTGTGCCCTTGGTGTTGCTGCCCTTTAAAAAACAATGGTATTAAAGATAGGCATGGCTAAATATTTCAGATTAACTAGTATGCTTCCTTGTAACGATATTTACCCACCTGAATATTTGACTACTTCGTTATTTTTTTTTTACATATAGTAAACAAAAGTATCATAAATACTGTTAGTCTGGTTTCTCGTTTTTCGACCAATATTTTTTTTTGTGTGGGCTTGACTCAGCCCTAATAAAAACCCGAACCGAAGCAAACACGAACGAGCAATGGCTTAACTGTAATATAATTAATTCATTATTTATCCTAGATTTCAGTAAAAACATGTCGTTTATTTGTTTTTAAAATTAAAACTAAAAATTATTATTATTCATTTTTTTATAGTGGTTCTACACCCTTATGCAAACTTATCCAATGCAGTTGATTAGGAAGAACTATACGACAAAAATTTCTAAAAAAAAACAAATTAGCTACTCTTTTATTCACATTTAAAAAGAAAAAAAAATCAATACACGTTTATTTATTTACTTGGGCATGTACATTTACGTTTAAGTAGATACAATTTGAAAACAGTTTAGAGAGTAAAACGTAACCTCGTGTAAAAATCTATTATTTGATGTAACATACATTTAATTAATTGTTTTTAATGATCTTATCCCAGGCTGTTTTTCCTAGACTCAGAGGCGTAGCAAGAGGGGGGGGGGGAGGGGCGGGGTCGCGGAACGCACCGGCTGACACCATCTAGGGGGGTGACACCAAGGCAAAAAATGGCAGAATATATGGAGAAAAATGATAATTCCACTTAATTAAGTGATTAATTCGAGTGTTAAATAGTGCTTTAAGAGGTGCAATTCGAAAGTTTGAGGGGGGGGGGGGTGCAAATCGAAAGTAGAAAGTTTGTCCTCGGGAAGGGTCGCTACGCCTCTGGAAGGTGACACCATTAAGTGCCGCACCGGGTGACACCCGACCTCGCTAGACTACCTGTAAATCTATAACGTAACATACATTTAATTAATTGTTTTTAATGATCTAAACCCAGGCTGTTCCTCCTGGACTACCTGTATATCTACTATGATCGCCGAAAACGAACGAGCTAATGCTACTAATGAGAATATTTGCCAGTAGGTTTTTAAATGTGTACTTATGTCATTAATTTTAAAAAAAATAATTAATTGATTAAATAATTTAACTTTTGGTTGGTTAACCAACAGAAATTACACTTGTCTCGTTCGACTCCTCTATTTAAGTAAAATATCGCATAGGTTTTTGTTTTTAAAGATCAATCTTTACCCCTCCCCTCTCTCTCTCTCTCTCTCTCTCTCTCTCTCTCTCTCTCTCTTTCGTAGACCCTTTCGTCCTCTTTCGAGCATTTTCAGCTTTTCCATTCTCCTATTTCATCCTCTTTCTGGATATCTTTCTTTTTCTCTTCTCTCTTTGCATGTTTCCTTCTATTTTTTCACTCACTCCCTTTATTTTTGTTCTCGTTTTGCCATTTCTCTCTGTTAAACGTGGGACCACCCCTCCCCTAATGTACACTCTGAGATTTTGCAGCTGTACTGAGTTGTTAGTATAAGTCGCAGGTGGTCGATTGGGTAGAGCACATAACTGCTAACACGAAACTCTACAGTTCAGACCTGGGCTGGTTTCCACATAGGCCTATCCTGCTATGCTGCGTAACATCCTGATTTTGGAGTCAAAGAACTGCTGACCACAAAGGTTGTACACGGAACCATTTTCACCATCTTTTATAAATTTTATAAAAAGTTGCCTAAGGAGGAGGCTTTATTAAAATTAAATGGCAAGACAAGATAGAAAAACCAAAACTTTGTCAGATGTTTGTACAGGAAACTTTCAACACAAATGTCAAGGCAGTGCTGCTCTATGGCTCGGAGACTTGGAGGGTTACGAAGTCAAATACTGATAGGTTAAAGGCATTCGTAAACAAATGCTTACGACATATACTTAAAATAAGATGGCCAGACAAAATATCAAATAAGGACCTGTGGCACATTTTAAAGTAACAGCCAATAGAGAAAGATATCAAGGCCCGTAAATGGGTATGGATCGGACACACGTTAAGAAAAGATAAAGAAAACATCGCATAACATGCTTTGGACTGGAATCCCCAGGGAAAAAAGGAGGGTGGGCCGGCCGAGGAAAACCTGGAAAAGAACGGTTGAAGAAGAGGCGAAAACAGCTGGGCTCACATGGGCACAGATTAAGGTAGCAGCCCAAAACCGAGTCCGCTGGAGATGTGTGGTAGCAGCCCTTTGCTCCCCAGGGGCCACAAAGGAATGATGATGATGATATACAGGAAACAATAGAAAGGCAAATCATAGAGAGAAAAAAACGTTGGATTGGACACACGCTTAGGAAGAACGCTGGAAATAAAGCCAGGCAAGCCTGGAGGGGAACCCCCAAGGCTAGCGACCCAGGGGTCGACCCAGGGAGACATTGCGACGTAGCGTTATCGAGGAGGCTGAAAGGAAAGAAAGGAATTTGAAACAGCGAAAAGAATTGCAGTAGACTGTGGAGAAGTGGACCTTTTTTTAAGTGATATCGGCATATGAAAATGTTATGGTCAGCACTATACCCAGCCATTACTTTCCCAAACGTAAGTCAGGTATCCATTAAAGCTGAATGAACTCAGGACTTTGTACGGACTCCAGCCCGGGATCCGAACTCGAGACTTTCGTGTAAGTTGTCGTACGCTCTACCACCCGACCATACCGTCCCCTCCCTCTTGTTCTAGGCGTGTCACTGATGTGTTCGCGTGTGTGGGTCAGAAGTGTCACATGGACAACACTCTGAGGGCCGGGGTCGTGGACTTCTTTAACCGGCACGTACAGCAGGTGCCGGCAACATGCGGTGAGTAGTACTGGACGTAGTACTCAAATGCTGGGGGATTTATTGAATAGCCTGTTAAATGATGTAAGTAGTTCTCAACTGCTGGGGGATTTATTGAATAGCCGGTTAAATAATGTAAGTAGTTCTCAACTGCTCGGGGATGTATTGAATAGCCGGTTAAATGATGAAAGTAGTTCTCAGCTGCTGGGGGATTTATTGAATAGTCTGTTAAATGATGTACGTAGTTCTCAACTGCTGGGGGATTTATTGAACAGCCGGTTAAATGATGTACGTAGTTCTCAACTGCTGGGGGATGTATTGAATAGCCTGTTAAATGATCTAAGTAGTTCTCAACTGCTGGGGGATTTATTGAATAGCCTGTTAAATGATCTAAGTAGTTCTCAACTGCTGGGGGATTTATTGAATAGCCTGTTAAATGATGTACGTAGTTCTCAACTGCTGGGGGATTTATTGAATAGCCGGTTAAATGATGTACGTAGCTCTCAACTGCTGGGGGGTTTATTGAATAGCCGGTTAAATGATGTACGTAGTTCTCAACTGCTGGGGGATTTATTGAATAGCCGGTTAAATGATGTATGTAGCTCTCAACTGCTGGGGGATTTATTGAATAGCCGGTTAAATGATGTATGTAGCTCTCAACTGCTGGGGGATTTATTGAATAGCCTGTTAAATGATGTACGTAGCTCTCAACTGCTGGGGGGTTTATTGAATAGCCTGTTAAATGATGTACGTAGTACTCAAATTTAGCGGGATTGATTAAATAGCCGGTTAATTGCTGTATATAGTACTGAAACTTAGTGGGATTTATTGAGTTACCGTTAAATGCGGTAAGCAGTACTCAAATTTAATAGGATTTGTTGAATTGTCTATAAAGTCGTTATAAGAAGCTAATAGAAACACTGAGCTATATAACATTCTGTTTCTGAGGGTGGTAGATAGAGTAATTTACCCGCTAGGCCCGGGGTGGGGATGCTTCGAATACATGGGTGGCCAGTGATTTTTTTTTTTTTTTTTGTTTTTTTTTGTTTTAGTAATCTGTGAATTCGTTTTTATCCAATCATTATCTAAGTAAATTGAAAATTAGAAAAGTCGGAGGGAATGAATTTATCTAAAAAAAAAAGAGAAAAATCGCTTCTGGCTCAACGTTGAGTTACAATTTTAGGCGACCAGCACACCCACTAACCAACATATAGACATTTTCATATAATATACAGCGTATAATAATAATAAGATAGTTAAAAACAGTCATGTCAACCAGTTTTAAAAGTCACTTTATTTTATTTACATATCATAGTACAGGGTTAGATTGCACAAATGTGTAAAGCATTTGAACTCAATGTCAAATCTTAACTTTATTTTTTCATATTTGTTTTCAGTTGAAATGCAACTGGAGAAACTTGAAGGTGACAATTTTACTTCACACATTATATCGTGTCACGTGATGTTTACATTTTTTTTTACTTGGCCACATCATGTACAATCATATGTTGTTTACTTTTTTACTTTAACAAATTATATGTTGTTCCGTTTTTAAGCAACCACTTCATATAGTGCCATATCTTAAAATTCTTTTTTTAAACTTACACGTTATATAATTATAATGCAAATATTTGTTTACAAATTCGTTGAATAACTAACACAGATCTATATTTATCACCCTATATGTATATTATGTGTATAGACTACACGTATGTATGTTAATTTAGTTGTCTAAAAAATGTGTTAACCATCAGATTGTGATGTTATGTTTGTTTTGTTGACTTCACTTTTTTGACTTTTGTGTAGAACCTATATTTCTGTTCATGCTTTGAAACAGAGCAACTAATTTTTGTTGTTTTTAAATGGTTTTTTCAGAGGAGCATAAAGATATTGGTGAGTCATTTATTTTTTGCTTATTTTTCTAAATAATGTTTGGTTTAATTTAAACTTGAAATGTGAATGTGGCATAGGCTTGCGAAGATCGAAATACTCTAAGGCTTAGTCGAAACTGGCCAACAACGTCTACACGCTAAATAAAAAGTTTAGGTGACGTTAGAGTAGGACGTCTAAACGGTTCTCAGAAAAAATACACAATCGGAAAACTGCGCAACGGAAAAATGCGCAAATAGAAAATTACGCAACTTAAATATACTAATACAATTTCATTGTGTATAATTTCTAGGATTTATGTTTTATTTTGCTACAATGTACTATTTATTAATATCTATAAATGCTCGAATTAATAACCCTAAAATACTGTTTCATACTTTTTTGTGCGTAGTCTTCCGATGCGCAGTTTTGCGTTGAGCATCTTTCCGGTCACCCATTTAAAACATATGGAATTTAACTGCACGGTTTTATAAGTAAAAAAACTCTCCAAACTGAAAAAAAAGCAGCTCATTTTGTTTACATATTGTTAACGTTTCATTTTTTTTTTGGAAGATTGAAACAAAAGAGTACAAGTTAGAATACATGTCATTTACTTCAATTAGTTTCACTTTTAACTTTTTTTATTTGCTTGCTGGCTTATTCTTTATACTATTTTCCATTTTGCTTGTTTTAATTTTCGATTGATCCCTCTCCTATAGACAATGATTTCCTTTACGACAATGATTTTGTGTCCATTTTTTCCTGTGAATTTTTGTTCTGTGGCTTTGTGAAGTATTTTTTAAATTTTACTATTTCTCAAGCTTACAAAAATCACTACCCCCCCCCCCAAACCACAAAACTTAAAGCAGTTTAAATATAGTTTAATCAAAAAAAAATAAAAAAAAAACATTATTTACTATTCAAAAGCATATGTACACATAATTGGTTAAAAATAATTTAATGTGTCTTTTTTCTTGTATGATACCTGTAATGGTTTTGATTTAATTTAAATGTAGCTGAGCTGCAAAGTATAAATTATGATTAAAATATATAAAAACATTGAGGAATATTTTTACTTTGATAGGTAACTTGGGAGCTAACTATGCATCACTGCTAAAGGCGAGCGGGTTTACCATCACAGCCGGCCTTGTAGCTGTGTACCTCATGCTTTCTTCAAGGAGTGGAATTTTAGTTTGAAGAGAGATCACTCAAGATTTTTTGTTTGATTTTACATTTTTAGTTACATTGTGGTAAACGAAGTGATCAAATTTTTACTCTATCCAAATTAAATTTCATTCAGAGTCGTAATAACACGCTCATAAGCCAAAGGCTGAATGGAGTTTTTGTCAAAACCAAGTTTATTTTTATTTAGTAGTAGTATTTTTAGTACGTAGGCCATTTTTTAATTGGATTTTTTTTTATTTAAAAAAACTATCAATTCAGATTAAATAGCTAATACAGCTAATACTATTTTAACATTCACCAATGTTATTATTGTCTAATGGTATCATTTTTCTAGTCAACACTACTATATTCACAATGTTTTTTTTCAATAATGCAAAAATTTGGATTGCGTTTACAGTTTAATGAGCTTTCTTAACAATGGTTTATCCAATAATGCTAAAGTATGCATAATGTTTACAGTAAACTGATCGATGGCAGCGATCCTTATCATGTTTAATGTTTAAGCTTAACTTTAATATGCAAAACATGTCTATTGAAATGATCCTAATTGCAGAAAAGAAAGAAAATAAAAAAATATTTCAAAATAAAAATTAAGAGAATATTGTTTATTTCGGTTGATTTAATAAAATGTATCTGTGTGCTAATTTTAGAAACTTTCAAGCCCCATGAACGACGGGATTGTGTAGCTTATATCCAGTGTGTAATGTGTGCGATATATTTTTGGAATGACTTTTTAACAAGAAGCAGTTTTACAACAGCACATCCAACTTTACCTGCAATTACACGCATAGCCTCCAGTGTGTTATTAATAACACAAAAGATGGCCTTACCTCCATAACAGAATGCTTACAAACAAGAATGTAATAACTTCCTCCTCTCCCCCATCTCTTCCAGGATGCGCTTTTCTAAGCACGAAACCGGAAACGATTTTAATTACAGGTCGGAAGGCAATCAGACGTGACTTCGACTTAATGAAACTTCCTACAAGGGATGTCTCCTCGTGATGATATAGTTTTTTTTTCTATATGTGGGAACTAGACTGACGAACGGAACTGATAATCACGTCTCGAGGTTTAAGTGTTTTTTTTAAATGTATAGACATTTAAACAGATAAGTTATTGTGTATAAAGGACGAAATCTATGAGGAATGGTTGTTCTGTAATAAAGTGATAGAGAATTTATGTGGAAATTATTAAACTAGCGTAGTTTTTGGTAAATTTGCTATTACGTTATTATTAAACGTAAGGATAAAATATCATGAAGCAAGCTATAAACTCTCAGTTAGATAGGAGCTTAATCTGGTTGTTGTGACGCAGATTGTATTTACACCAAAACAAGCACTTGAGAGAAGTTGAAAAGTGGTACGGATATAAAGCTAAGGACACTTAATTAACACCCACTTTAGTATTCACGTTGTTGAACTCAGCGTACTCTTGATATTGCTGATTCAGTTTTCTGTATTTGAATATTACACTCTACAAACTGTGCGGATCACTGTATCATCGGAATGTGAAACAACAATTTCAACAGTTTAATTATCTATATAAAATTAGTACCTATAGAAAAAATTGAAAAGTACAAAGATGGTTTTCACAAGACACTTATCAATGAATCACATACTAATTGTTTTTAATGTCGAAATATGTGTATGAATATTTTCATGGATTGAATCGTTGATTACCATCCTGTAGTGTGCAATATGAATACCACAAATAAATTTGACAAATATTACAACAATAGTGATATATATTTATAAATAAATTATATATATATATATATATATATATATATATATATATATATATATATATATATATATATATATATATATATACATACATATATATATATATATGTCTATATATATATATATATATATATATATATACATACATATATATATATATATATATATATATATATATATATATATATATATATATATATATATATAAATATATATTTATATATATATATATATATTTATATATATATATATATATATATATATATATATATATATATAAACATACATATATATATATATATATGTCTATATATATATATATATATATATATATATATATATATATATATATATATATATATATATATATATATATATATATATATATATATATATATATATGTGTGTGTGTGTGTGAGAGAGAGAGAGAGAGAGAGAGAGAGATTGTGTGTATGTCAAGTATAAATTAAAAGGGTTTGTCACAAAACATATTAAGATTTCTGAAGAGACAAGTGATCGTATGTGTTCTATTTTATACAAATATAATAATTATGTGTACATCTCCTTATTGCGTATGCATTTAGAAGCTCATTTTTATATTCTCAATCCACTATATATATATATATATATATAGACATATATATATATATATATATGTATGTATATATATATATATATATATATATATATATATATATATATATATATATATATATATATATATATATATATACATACATATATATATATATATGTCTATATATATATATATATATATATATATATACATAGAGAGAGAGAGAGAGAGAGAGAGATTGTGTGTATGTCAAGTATAAATTAAAAGGGTTTGTCACAAAACATATTAAGATTTCTGAAGAGACAAGTGATCGTATGTGTTCTTTTTTATCCAAATATAATAATTATGTGTACATCTCCTTATTGCGTATGCATTTAGAAGCTCATTTTTATATTCTCAATCCACTATATATATATATATATATATATATATATATATATATATATATATATATATATATATAGACATATATATATATAGACATATATATATATAGACATATATATATATATATATATGTATGTATATATATATATATATATATATATATATATATATATATATAGATATATATATATATATGTATACATACATATATATATATATATGTCTATATATATATATATATATATATATATATATATATATAGAGAGAGAGAGAGAGAGAGAGAGACAAAATCTATATATATATAATACTCTTCTTGGAGACGATAGAAAACAAGCTTCAAGCGCGCCTAGCAGTCCCCTCTCTTCCTCTCTAGGCATATCGTAACCACCCCCACCCCCACCTGTTTACAATCTTCTTCTTTCTTCTTCTTTGTTCTTAATTATAAGTGTTTTAGGGGATCGAGATTTATCTGCCAGCGCGTTTGAACTCGAGACTTTGTTCGAATTTATCAACCATGAGCTTTTTACAATCGAAGAGCCGGGTTTAGTGACGGCTATTAGGGGCAGATAATTTAGTTTGAAACTATTTTCCCACGTTTTCTTTAACTTGCTTTCTCTGTGTCTGTGTTTCTGTGTTTGTCTTTCCAATCAAATCTTGCGATCGAAATTTCTGGCACTTCCCAGTTAGCTAGCGCGCTGAAATTTTCAGGGAAGCTTTCTTTTGGATGACCATAGAATATGCAATTGTTATTATTACTAAATTGATCAATGGAAACATTTTATTGAGCATTTTAGACCGCTGTATAATCTATATATATATAATTCTCCTCTGCGAGCCATTAGAAAAAAAACGAGCGACGCGTACCTCTCGCGCAGTGAAGCGAACGATCCCACGTCGCCACAGGCTTAGGGGCAGATAATTTAGTTTGAACCGAGTTTAAAGTTACAGGAGGTAGGCCAGTTTGGGGGAGACGATATGGTCGAGTGGTTGGCCACATGAACCCACTCGACACGGGTTCAAATCTATGTGTTCTAGTCAGTAACGTATTCACAAACGATTTTTTTTCGAGTTGTCTTTTTACGAGTTGTCTTTTTACGAGTTGTCTTTTTACGAGTTGTCTTCGTTTACCCAAAAAAAAGTGAAAAGATAAAATCGATAGCAAGATTTTAATGCAAACAAACAGACAAAGACTAAAAAGTAGAAAATAATAATCATTAAAAAAGTTTTAAAAAACCCACGTTTTCTGATTGAACTAAAAAGTAGAAAATAATTGCTATACATCACAATAATGCAAGCGATCACTCTACTATAAGCGATCAAAAACGTGGGGCGCCGTGATTTTCTTACAGTTTCTAATACTGTTGACTCTCTACAAGCTCCCTAATAAAAGTCAATAGTATTATCTAATCAATAGTAATATAACTTTTACTTCGGCGCCCCACGTTTTTGATCGCTTATAGTAGTGATCGCTTGCATTATTGTGATGTATAGCAGTTATTTTCTACTTTTTAGTTCAATCAGAAAACGTGGGTTTTTAAAAACTTTTTTAATGATTATTATTAAACTTAGGGGAATTAACTAAGAGGAGGCTGCTTTCACGGGGAATGGGGGGTGGGTACGGATATAACCAAATCGATTAAGAAAATAAACACAAATCCATTTCTCAGAACTACAAATAAAAATTATTTTTATTTTATTACATAAACAAATCAGATGTAGTTAAAAACATTTTCATAAATGTTACGAGTCAAACTTATAGCACGTTAATTATATTGTTTCTCATTTAATGGCTGTAGATTTATTTTCATTATTTCAAATAAAAATATAAAATACAGCCATAAATGTCAATGAATCTTTGGAGATTTAAATGTGTATTTTTAATGGTCATTCAAATTATAAGACGTGTCAAGTTTATAAGTATTGCTGGTGCTAATTTTATTTCTTAAAGTATTTCATTATTAACATTTTTTGGCAAGTATTTTTATCTTTATTTTGAAGTTAAAATTCACATTTATCAAGGTTAAATACACATAATGTTTGTATGATTTTGAAAAAAGAAAAAATGTTTTAGCATACAATACATAAACAATCAAAGTTATCACAAACATAAAAAGGCTTTTGTGAAAGAAACACTTTAACAAAGAGAAATGTGTGACATTCAAAAAATCTTGATCAAAATCGACACCGTGACCAAGGCGAGCAGGTTCAAAGCTGATGGCAGTGTACTGATGCTTGTGGCGCCATTTTTGTACTCTTGAAAAAAAAATTGAAATTAATGTAAAAATGAATTATCACTCGTATTAAAACGTACTTTGTTAATTAATATTCCACGGCGTAGCTTCGCGGTAGAGCGCTAGATTGCTCTCTCTCTATATATATATGGAAACGGGCTCAGAAGGTTGACTTCCATTAGCCAGGCAGGCCTCAGTGTAGCAAACTCCGACCACAATAGTTTCCCACACATCGGTCGCTACTTCCGTCGGCTCTCACCGGTCTTTCCTTCCCCACCCACCAGACGCTGTTGGCTACCACTAGCCATTCCGCACCCATTAGGGGGGTCATGGGTTTGGTCCGACTAGTGGCACTCTTCCGAAGCCACGTGAAGGCCGCAGCTTAAAGTCAAAATATCTGGTTAGGGTCGGGAGCAAACCCTTTTTGGTTCCCGGCAGTCTTGCACCTCTCCTCCCTCACGCTATTATGTAGGGGACTTGGGAGTCCGACGTACCAGGCTCTAGATTTCTATCCGGAAAGACTCGAGTTCAAATCCGGGTTCAAATCCGTAGAACGTCACAGAGTCTACTCACCTCTGGTGGACACTTAACTCAGATTAGGAAAAGTCAAGTCTACTTCACTTGCCCCAAGGACTATCCTTTTAGGAAAAGGGTCTCTCTTTCATTATTAATATTAATATTACTGTTAGTATTCTTGTTTAGTATAAATATCGTCATCTCTAAGTAGAACAGAAGTTATTAACAACAGATGTCCACTTAAACTACTCTAGAGTAAAATATGAAAATAAATAATGTCCTGTTTGAAGAATCTCGACATGTTTACTTCGTTTTTAGAGTTTTTAGAATTTTTTATTATAAAAATTCATAAAAAACGTTTTAATAACAAGCTTTTATGTAATAATGCACTAAAAAGTAGAAAATAAATTATAGACTACTATTTAAATAACTATAAAGAAAAGCGTGGGTCACTTTAGTATCTATTGGATACCATTACTAATGTTAAGGAAGACACCCACGCTTTTTTTTTATAGTTATTTAAATAGTAGTCTATAATTTATTTTCTACTTTTTAGTGCATTATTACATAAAAGCTTGTTATTAAAACGTTTTTTATGAATTTTTTTTTCAGTACTTTACATGTTTTATTTACAATAGAGTTACATGACTAAAAACCATTGCGTGCCTATTGAACGTGATGGCGCAGCTATTGAACGTACCGTGACGGCGCAGCTATTAAACGTGATGACGCGTGTGGTGTGGTTGGCTAGACATGCCTACTAATTCGGTCCACATTTTAATTAATTCATAAAAAATTAATTAGGCATCCAATTAAGACAAATTAAATTTTAGATTGCATTGTCTTCATGTCTTGACCCACGTGTCAAATGTGAATCGTATCGGTCAAGTAGAAGTTTCCGAATTTTCACTCCTTCGTTTCGATCTAGACTGACGACAGACTGGCGACGACAGAGGAAGTGAGTTAAATAAAAGCTTGTAAAAACTGAGTAAATCCCGCAATGTATGTGAAATGGTTTGTTACAGGGGTTCAATAATTGATCCAGTATCGATAATTTAATAATGACCAGAATGGACATGTAAAGATTCCCCTGGCTTACATAAAGTACTTCTTTCTGACTTTTTCTCCTGGGGGGGGGGGGGGGAGGGGGACACTGGTAAAGTATATATTTTCTATATAAATTCCATCTCTTTCGGAGGACGGTAAGCTTTCTTCGGGGGGCCTCAGCCATCCCCTTCCGATCTAGCCAGACTGGCGACAGACAGAGAAAGCAAGTTAAATAAAAGCTTGTAAAAACGGACAATAAGATAAAAGAACTGTTTACTTACTGTTGATGAGGTCGGCTGCAGTAAATGCTGAAAGAAAAGTAAACGATGTATTTTATAATGGTTGGTATCTGAATATAGTAATATACCTACTTTAACTCTTCACGAGATATGACTTTACCAAGCATGAAGAAGCCTGTCAGTTTTATATGCAAATACTAACGAAATATGTAGTTTACACTGTGAATTATTTTCCTTCAGATTTAATCTACGCCTTGCAGGTTTTAGTTCAGTGGGCTTACAGTCTTATAAGTTTTAGTTCCAGTGGCTTATGTCTTAGGCTTTAACTCAGTGGGCTTGTGTCTCTTAGGTTTTAGTCCCGGGTCCTACGTCCTTGAAAATTTGACTACAGTGGAAATATTGAAGGTTTAGCCCACAGTCCGTGTGTATCAGTTAAGTAGGCATTCAGCTGATTACATTAAAACAAATGAAGAAAATATAACTCACAGCACTTAAGTCCTAACTGACTAATCTCTGAACTCAGCCGCTCGATTAATTCTGTCTCCATTTCTTTTGTTATGCCGCAGTTTTGTTGAAATATACAAGCGACTACAGTTTGCATGTCACTAAAGAAAAGGCGAGAAAAATCAGTTGTTATATTTAACAAATATATTTTTATACGTATATATATATATATATATATATATATATATATATATATATATATATATATATATATATATATATATATATATATATATATATATGTTGTATATAATTTATGTTTTTCAGCGGTACTTTAGTCACTGGAGAATTAAGGTGCGACAACAACAACCACTCCAATTTTTAACCAAAATCGATATTGTTTCAAATAAAGTCACTGCATATGTTTTGTTTGTAGCAGTTTTTATACTTTCAGTTGTAACATTTTCAATGTCGTAAAAGCACAATTTAATATCGATAAAAATAAAATCTTGCGCTTAAACAAATACATATGCTTGCACTTAGACATAGACATAAGTCATTGTAATTATATACCAATCGTTTGTTAAACCTATTTCGATGTTGAATACACTTACTTGCAAATGGCGTTTTCATTAGAGGCGTGACTTACAACATTTTCCACGAATGTAGTGTAGCACTGTGTTACTCCAGAAAGGCAGTCTATAACAGCACAACAAAAGATTTACATAAGGAAGTTATATAGGCCTGTATATGTATATGTATATATATATATATATATATATATATATATATATATATATATATATATATATATATATATATATATATATATATATATATATATATATATATATATATACGCATCTCTGCGTTATTCTTTACTTTTAATGTGTCATGGTTTAGTGGTCAAAAAGAAAATATACAAGTTTTGCTTGATACTCAATACTTAGATAATTATTTTGCTATAGGCCTACATAATTCTTAAGACAAAATAAACCGGGAGTTATCTCCCCTAAACTTTCTCTAATATTCTTATATAACACTATGTAGGATGGCAATTCGGAACATAGACATGATTTTTAATTACTTAAACTTTTAAAAATAGAATAGAATCTCGTCGAAAAAAGAATTGCGTACCAAGCGAACGCCAAAACAAAATGTGCATAATAGTGCGGAATACTATTAGTACTTTATAAATTAACACGCGTTTTTTGAGAAATCAGAAATAGCGTAAATTACTACTTACGGTTAACGAACATTACTGATAATTTGACAGAAGGGTAGAGAATTAGATCGTGTAATTACATGTGCAATTTCATTTACCTATCTGAAAAAGTACTTAAGTTATAGGCTTTTGAAAAATTCAAAGTAGAAAAAGTACCACTTCCGGTTATCTGAAATTGCTCAAAAGTTAATACGGATCTACGATTTTGATAAAATACTTATATATGAAATTTTTATCAACCTAGCTGTAACGTAACTCAAGTTATTGTGTTTGCAGACAGACAGACAAACACACACACACAGACTTATGGACAAGATTGCAAAAATATGTTTTTCCGACTCAGGGAGGTGTAAAACGTCGAGATTTGTAAAAATCTTGATTTTTTTTTATTTTTTGCAAGATTACAAGACTTTCTCTATACTTCGTATATACGGGAGAGTAAAAATAACCCATATAGCAGGTCACAAAATACTTTTTGGAACATTAATATCAGATCGATTTTTTTAAAATATATCATGGTTTCAATGATAAAGTATTGTTTATCTTATTCTCTAAATTTGCAAATGTAAAGATAATATGGATAACCCTATGTTCACCTCTACTCTTCTCACTTGTTACTCATCAGAGCTCCGGGGACGTGCTGAATTCGAGAATAGACTTCTTTTCATATTGGTAGACGCGCGCCCTACCTCTCGACAAGTCAGTTCCAGTTGAAATATTTATATTATTTTTAGAAGGTGTATAACTCTCCCCTATCATTGAAACTATGTTGCAGATAGTATTTTTTTAATTCATTAAATCAACTTTTTAAAAATGTATTATGTACTAAACTTTATGAGAACCAATTAGGTTAAGCGTACCTCCTGAAGTTTGTCCAATAGTCATCAGCAAGACAAAAGCGGTAAGACACAAGAGTTTCATGGCCATCATTTTAATTTAAAGATCTGTATGTGAAATATGTAGGCCTATGATTTAAAGAAAACAAAATAAGCCTATGATTTAAAGAAAAAGAAATCATAAAACACACTGAATCATTACTTCATAATCTTCTTATAAACTGTTGCTTTTTTTTTTAAAGAATCATTTTTCGTTCTTAATCCTAGAGTAGGAACGGATTTCCTCAACGTGTCAACTTATCATGCGCCATATGACGCCGTTGACTCCGTTTTCAACCTGCTTTTCTTTTGTTTTATTTTTGGAGTTATCTCTCCTAGAAGAGTTGCTGTTCCCAGCTGTCAAGCCTCGAGATTTTTCGGTTAACTAACAATGTGCTTTACCGACTCGACCTAACCGATTCCTTCCTCAATTAAATAACTCTGTTAAACTGATGTAATAATAATATAACTAAATTAAATAATCTAGGCCTAATTACAGATAACACAAAATTGTATTTCCTAGGATTTGTAAATAATTTTTTGTCATTTTCAAAAAATTAAAGAAAATTGTAAATTTTTACAAGGTTTATAAGCCTGTCCGATTATTATTACTTGGTTGACTTTAAACAATAAGAGTTGATTTAAGTTTCCTAGCTCCAATAATCTACAGTTTTAATGCTTTAATCTTATGGCTGAAAAACAAAAAAACAATGAACGAATATTAAGTCGTAAATAAAAAAAAAACCTTACCACTTGAACTTTAACAAGACAAACAACTGAGGCGCAGTCAGTTACCTTAATGACGTGAATAGACCTCTCTTTGCGCATGCTCGCGTGACATTAATTGAAAACGAAACTGCGGCCTGCGCAAGCGTTCGTAGTAATAACAGGCTAACCCGCTTAAGTCTTTACCCCATGATAGGGATAGGGGAGAAGAGGTTAGTAGAATCCCATAAAGCTGATACCTCCCCTACAATAAAAAGTAAACACGTAATATCACAAACACAATGACTTTTTAAGGCTGTATAACAATTGATAATATCCAAAATACTGGATAATGCAATTACAAATGGTGGAAACAAAAGAACACAAGATGAAACCAGTTTGCTGAACTATCAAGAGCCACAGCCTATATATGAAGGAGATCGATCTTATCTGTTGATTACCAGTTGTTGTTTTTTTTTGTCCAGTCTCTATTTAAGCAACAGAATAAAGGTGTCAATGTTTTTATTATCATTCTAATATTATATTTTAAAATCAAATGTATTTTGTAAAAAAAAAAAGAAAAATGTACATTACGAATAAAAAATTAATTTATTTAAATATAAAATTAGTTTTGTTTTTCGTTTTAAACAGCAGGGTCAAATACAACAGCGATTTATTAAAATGCCGACACACTACTTTACACGAAAGTATTTTACAACACTGCTTCAGCATGTTTGTTGAACATATAATTTTTATAATGCTACATAAAAACATTCTATATAAATATTTATCTGCTGTACGAAAGCACTTGTTAATTTTTATTGTGCCCTGTCCGTCTAAAGATAACGAATGCAAGGGACGTTACCTTTAATAAACTGGCAAAATTTAAATAGTTTGAAACTTTGCTCTCCCCTCGTAAGTATTGTAAGTGCAAAATCGAATAGCGGAAGAGTGGTCGAACGTTCACAATTGAGAACATATTTTATGTATTAATCCGTCAATCTTTTGACACGGAGAAAAAGAAATGGCCAGCGGATTCAGGGGATTTTTAATATTGCATTAACTTGTCTTTTATACATGTACATTAAGATGGTCTAGTTTGTCCAAAAATGTTCTAGCAATGTTTAATTATAACTTCGAAATCCCCATTATTCGAACTCTTTGTTGAGAACGGTTTGAAAAATATTTTCAATTTATACGATATTAAATTATTATTTTGATTTTTTTGCCGTTGTTCGCCATCCTTGCCGATGAATATCATTCTTTGTTCAAACATTTAATAATTAGACAGATTGAAAGTCGATGTGAAATTTTTTACGAAACATTAATGTTGGTCTGTATAGATTGCAGGATGCTAGCTATTCTTATACTTTGAAATACAATCTATAATCAAAACGAGACTGTATCAAAATCTGACCTTTGGTGTTTCGTATTAGAAATGAATTGTTTGTGTGATAGTATAATACCCGGTCTTATATGGTGGATGATAGAATGCGTAGGGGGTGTCACCTAGTCGAATTTAGGGGGAAGCTACATTTGTTGACCGTTAGAACAATGTGGGTGTTCCAATGTATCCAGTATTTATTCCAATGCTTTTCTAATTAATATATAACATTTTCATATTTACTATGTGTATTCTAATCTTTTGTAAATAAAGATTTATTGTTTGATAAGAAACTAAGTTAGGTTTAATCAAGGTACCTACAGCCACAGCTGAATATCTCAACATATAAGCTTTGTTTTAGATGTTTCATTACAAATGCTACGTAACTGAGTTAAAGATTTGTAGTAGGTCTGAGTTACGATCTAGATTCCTCGAAGTTTTAGAGCTCCAAAAATTGTTATTCAGCTCTAATGGGTATCGAAATCATGTTAAAGACAAAAAATGCGGCTGATCAGCTTTAATTCATATGCCAAGAAACAATTAAACTCTACTTCGCCTCCCAAATCGCTAAGTGTGAATAGGATCCTTTACTTTTTGCTTGTACTAATTGTTATAAATATTTATAAACTGCATATGGTAAGAATAATCTAAAAGTAATAAAAGAGCAAGTAAAAAAAATATTTTCCAGCAGAGTGGAGCATAGGCGGATAAATAGAGATATTGTATCTAGAGTTCTCTTGTCTTCCTTCAAGTTCGACTTGTATTGTTTCTTTAAAAAATTTGTTTAAAGAATGTTTGCACTCTCTGTGGATATCTTTGTAATCCTTTATAGGCTTAGAAAATAAACACAAAGGCATTCCAGAGTATTAAAAAACGCAAAAACACCCCATTATGTTTATTTTTTATTTCATAAACAAATACGATATGTAATTAAAACATTTTACATAAATGTTACGAATCAAACGTGTAGCCGTTAATTATTTTTTTTTCTGATTTAATGACTGAAAGTTTTATTTCTAAAGAAAAACAGCCATAAATATCAATGAATCTTTGGAAATATAAATGTATTTTTTAATGGACCTTCCAATTATCAGACGTGTCATAGTTCTAAGTTTTTGCTGGTTCTTTTTTTTTTATTGTTAAAGAATTTCATTATAAAAATTTAGTTTGCAGAATTTATATTTTTAATTAGAAGTTAAAAATAAAATTGTAGATGTTAGAAACAGAAAAAGTTGGTATTAATTTGACAAAAGAAAAATGTTTCAGTATACACGACATTAACAATCAAAGTAGTTACCAACATAAAAAGGCTATTGTGAAAGAAACACAGTAGCAAAGAGAAATGTGTAGCATTCAAAAAATCTTGACCAAGATCGACACCGTGACCAAGGCGAGCAGCATCAAAGCTGATGGCAGTGTACTGATGCTTGTGGCTCCATTTTTGTGCTCTTGAAAAAAAATGTGAAATAAAAAATGTAAAAATGAATCAGCGCTCTTATTAAAATGTATTTTATTAATTAATATCAATATTAGACGGCGTGGCTTAGCGGTAGAGCGCTAGAAAGTCTCGAGTTCGAGACCTGGTTTAAGTCAAAAGAGCGTCCATCCAGCTATGATGGGTACCTAGCTCAAGAGGCGTCGCGAGGTGGGGTGGGGGTCCGAACCGCAGCGGGTGACATCGTGTAGTGGGGTGACACCAAGGCAAAACAATTGCAAATAATTTAAAACATATATGCTTTTTGTCAATGTAATGAATGATTAATCAAAGTAAAAAAGTATGTGACACCACATCTAATAAATTTATATGACAACGTTGCTCTTTTCCAATTCAAATATAGTTGGATGAAAAATTTACTCCATTTGGCAAAATGGCAGGGGGATGACGTGACACCTTTACAACTATATATAAACCTATTTAAACATTATATATATATATATATATATATATATTTATATATATATATATATATATATATATATATATATATATATATATATATATATATATATATATATATATATATATATATAATGTGCCGTTCCGGGTGGCACCCGTCCTAGCGACGCCACTGGGAAAATTATGTGGTTTAGATCACAGAAACGTATGAAATCTACTTCACTTGCCCCATAGTCCGACATTTTAGGTAATGGATCTTTCTTCGATAATTTTTATTAACATTCCTTTTACTGTTAGTCTACTTGTAAAATATAATTATAGTTATCTAAAATTGGAACAGAATAGATAAACAGTTGTCCACTTAATTTCTTTCGAGAAAAAAAAATTAACCTTCCTGTTTGAAGACTCTCGCACCGTTAAAGCTGGGTTTAAATCTTGTCCGTATGTCTCTGTGTGTGTATGTATGTCTGTGTGTCTGGCTGTGTGTGTGTGTGTGTGTAAACACAGTAACTTGAATACCGTTACAGCAAGGTTGATGAAATTTTATATATAAATATTATATCAAAATCGTAGACCTGTATCAACTTTTGAGCGATTTCCGATTATCGGAAGTGAAACTTTTTTTACTTTCAATTTTTCAAAAGCCTATAACTTAAGTACTATTTCAGATAGATAAATGAAATTTTACATGTAAGTAAAATATCTAATTATCTGCCTTCTATCAAATTTTGAGTAATTTACGAGCTCGGAAGTATTAGTTTTCGCTATTTCCGATTTTTCAAAAAAGGCATGTAAATTAATAAAATACTAATATTGCGCACTATTATATACATTTTGTTTTGCGTTAACTTGGTGTACAATTCTTTTTTCTACGATATTCTATTACATTTTAAAAAGTTTAAGGGATTAAAAATAGATTCAAAATCATGTCTATATCCCGAGTTGCCACCCCCTGTTATTTTATATAAGAATATTCGATAAAGTTTAACGGAGATAACTCCCGGTTTATTTATTATAAAAATATCCCACGATGTATGTGAAATGGTTTCTGTTACTGAGTTTCGATAATTGATCCAGTATTGATAATTTAACAATGACCAGAATGGACATGTAAAGTTTTCCCTGGCTTACATACAGTGTTTCTTTTAAACTTTTTTCTCACGGAAGGGAGGGGGTGGACTAATTTTTCCAGTGCAGGGAGACATTGTTAAAGTGTATATTTTCTATGTAAATTCCATTTCGTTCGGGGGACGGTAGATTTTCTTCGGGGGCCTTAGACATCCGCTTCCGATCTAGCCTGACTGGCGACAGACAGAGGAAGCAAGTTAAATAAAAGCTTGTAAAAACGGACAATAAGATAAAAGCACTGTTTACTTACTGTTGATGAGGTCGGCTACAGTAAATGCTGAAAAATATTTTCTAATGTTACATTTCATACTGGTTTATATCTGAATATAGTGATATATATAACTCTTTCACGATATATGACTTTACCAAGAATAAATATCACTTTTTTACTTTCTTGTATATACGAAGTATAGAGAAAGTATTGTAATCGTGCAAAAAAAAAAATCGAGATTTTTACAAATCTCGACGTTTTACACCTCACTGATACGGAAAAACATAATTTTGCAATCTTGTCCGTATGTCTGTGTGTCTGTGTGTCTGTCTGTCTGTCCGTGTGTAAACACGATTACTTGACTACCATTACAGCTAGGTTGATGAAATTTCATATATAAGTATTTTATCAAAATCGTAGATCCATATCAACTTTTGAGCAATTTCCGATAACCGGAAGTGGTACTTTTCCTACTTTGAATTTTCAAAAGCCTATAACTTGAGTACTATTTCATATCGATGAATGAAATTTCACATGTAAGTAAAAGATCTAATTCTCTACCTTCTGCAAAATTTTGAGTATTTTCCGTTGACCGGAAGTAGTAATTTACGCTACTTCCGATTTCTCAAAAAACTAATATAAATTTTTAATGTACTAATAATATTGCGCACTATTATGCACTTTTTTATTTGGCGTTCACTTGGTGTGCAATTCTTTTGTCTACGAGATTTTATTCTATTTTTAAAACTTTAAGTATTTAAAATGGATTAAAAATTATGTGTTTAGCCCGAGTTCCCATCCCCTGTTAATTTATATAAGAATATTCGAGAAAGTTTTGGGGAGATCACTCACGGTTTATTATTAAATACAAACGAAATATCTAATTTACTAAGTGATATATTTAACTGCTGAATTATTTTCCTTCAGATTTAGTCTAGGCTTTATGTCCTGGATGATTTAGTACATTGGGGTTACAGTTTTGTAGGTTTTAGTCCAGGGGACTTATAGGCTTGCAGGTTTTAGTTCCGGTGGCTTATGTCTCATAGGTTTTAATTCAGTGGCCTTATGTCTCTTAGGTTTTAGTCCCAGGGCCAGTGTTTTTTGAAAGTTTGAGTACAGTTTATATATTGAAGGTTCAGCCTACAGTTTGTGTTTATCAGTTAAGTAGGCATTCGGTTGATTAGATTGAAACAAATGAAGGAAATGTAACTCACAGCACTTAGGTTCATGCTGCTTTATCTGTGAATTTATATGCTCGGTTAATTGTGTCTCCATTTCTGCTGTGAAGCCGCAGTTTTGTTGAAATAAACAAGCGACTAAAGTTGTCATGTCACTATAGAATAGATTAGAAAAATTATTTGTTATATTTAACAAATATATTATATGCGTATATGTATATATATATATATATATATATATATATATATATATATATATATATATATATATAATCTTTGTATATATGTATTTCAGCGGTACTATGGTCATTGCACTTACGCTGACTAGGCACAGCCACAGCAGTAGACGAAGACGTAAGCTTAAACATAGACATATTAGTCAATGTAATTATATACTAATTGTATGTTAAACCTATTTCGATGTTCAATACACTAACTTGCAAATGACGTCTTTGTTGGAGAGGTGGATCTCACCCTTGTCCATGTATTTTGTGTAGCATTGTGTTACTCCAACAGCGCAGTCTATTTCAACAACAAAAGATTTAAATTGTGCAGGTATATCTATCTATGTTACATCATACAACAGTGACACAATTAGAGACTTCATAACCTAGGGCAGATTTTACACCAGTACGCAACTGAGGAAGTGTCATTAAACTTCTGAAGTGATCATGGCTGGATTGCGCATGCCCACTAGTGTGCGTGAATGGTCAACTGGACAGCGGCTACGGGGGTTTCCCCTTCCGCCCGAGTAGAGTATATAAACTGACCGCTTGGATTTTTCTTTCTTTTGACCGAAGTAGAATGTACATCTAGTTCTGGTCAGTTACTCGCTGTGCGCTTGTCGAACCTCGTGCGTGGAGCGAGGTTGCTTTTGTAACTTTGGATGTTTTGTATGTAATGTTTTGTATGTATTGTTTTGTTCGATGTTTATTTTGTATGACATGTTTGTTTCGTGTGGACATTAGGTGGCGTTTCGGGATAGGAAGGTTGTCTGTGTGGTCAGAGCCTAGACTATCCGAGGCATCGAATGTAATTAATATTCCATCGAATGTTGTGTTTTGTTTGTTTACTGTTTGACTAGGATGTTTTGGATTTGAAGTAATGTTTACTTTTTTATAGTTGGTTCCATTTTCATATGAAAATAAAACTATAAGCTTTATTTCATGTGTGTATTTTATTTATACAAAGGTTAGGGTTTAACTACTGTGGGGTTAACCACGGTTGCACTGACCGGACAGTTTATTTAGATAAGCCTAGGAAAGGTCGATAGAAAAGGTATCCCCCCCTTTAGCAGGGCTTACACTAGGTATTCTAGATTGCGCATGCTCGCTTGGTATTCAGCCAGCCAACCAATCGTACAGCCTGAGCTAACCATCCTGATCCAATGAAAATCAAACAACGCTCCAAGACTTAATCGAGTTATTTTTATTGATTGAAATGTAGTTGATCATGGACAGAATGGATGGCCGCATGAAATTTAGGTCAAGGTAAAAAGGTGGTGAGGGGAGGGTGTCTGTACACAGACATTGAACTCCAGATAAAGACAAATCAATCTGGAAAACATATAAGCACCCTCTCTTTCAATACATGGACTCACTAGACTTATACATGATTCTTAAAACACTATATGCAAATTAATATGTTTTTTTAAACTAAGATGAAA